ACTACCAAGACTACCGAAAACTATACAAAATACCGGGACTACCGAAGACTACGCAAACTACCGAGACTACAGGAAGCTACAGAAAACTACGCAAACTACCGAGACTACAGGAAGCTACAGAAAACTACGCAAACTACCGAGACTACAGAAAACTACCGAGACTACGGGAAACTACAGAAAACTACACAAAATACCGAGATTACCGAAAACTACACAAACTACCAGAACTACCAAAGACTATGGAAACTAACGAGACTACGAGTTTCTACAGGCCACCGCACAAAATAATGAAAATGCAAGGTAACTACGGGCACGGCGAAAAAATTTTGCCATTGCTCACGCTGTTGCAAACGCGTGGAAGGAAAGAATCCATTTTAAATCGAAAGCTTTCATAGACGTTAACCTAGCTGGAAAAACCGGAAATCACGGCGGGACATTCTAATTTTTATTCTCCAGTTGCTTTATTGAAACTTGTTTCTTGCTACCCTTGATGATTTTCACTGTGGCCTATGCAGCATAAAGTATATCGCTTGTGTAATTCTTCTAACATCAGGGAGGCAAAATAAAGAAAATTGCTTTCAGAATGCAATTAAAAACTATGTGTATGCTGATACAGCAAAAAAACAATCATTTTACGGTTAACAGACACCTATGGCACACTTCGAACACGACATTTTTTTACGGGCATCCTTATGCGATGTAGTGCACCTTTCCGTTGTAGCCTCCGTATTCGCAAAGGCTGTTTATATACTGAATGCTGAAAGTTTCCTTCCTATTACAATGTTATTAAACCGCTATGAAAAGCGCAACAATTAAATTAGCGATTTTTTTGCTGTACGAAAGGCGATTTGTTTTAGTTTTCATTGTGGCTTCATCGTTCTGTTTTATGTGCAGAGCAGAACGATCATTCCCCATAGAAATCTTTCTAAAAAATACCTGTACTTTTGGTGTAATATCTATATCACTATATGTACTTGTACAGTCATTGTTGTTGCTCTAAGGTGTGCGAGAGGAATAATTGAAGATTCATTCATTCATTCCTCTCGCACACCTCGAGCAAGAGTCATTCAGATTTGTACAATAAATAAAGACACATTCTCTCTCTCCCTCCTTCTTCCTGTTTTAACGGCACATTTGGCGCTGCCATAAGCCATTGACATCTGACCGGTTTCCCTCCAATTTGGTCTTCAGTGCCTAGTTAAGAATAAGGACAAAGCAGAAAAGCTGATTACCTTTCGAGCATGCAATAAGAGTGCACTGACGGAGAGCGTAAGTGTGAATGGATTGCAGTATTTACTCACACCCGCCCCCTGTTCTACACTGCCCTCCGGTCAGTTGCAGTTGAGCTCAGTGGGGAATAACTGAACATGGACACAGCAGCAGGCAGCCGGCTGCCTTGCACTTTTACACCGCGATTTCTTTCCATGCTGTATTATGGATACACCATACGGTGCAGCAGTCGTGGATTGTGGAATCGCACGTGGCAGCACAGCGCCGAGAAAATGCTGTAGATTTTAACAGAGACAGGGACTTTAACAGACCGTTTAAACTGGTTGATATTTTGTTGTTTGGTAGTTAAGGACCAGCAGGAGCGATGGAACGCTAACTATCACAAAGTGGGGTGGTGATTTTCCGATATGAACGTACTGTACTATTATAATATTTTTAATGCAGTAAACCGTATTGATTTTATGGCGACAGTGTGCAGCAGCGGAATACGATCGTTTGACTCCGCGGTCTCATTGCCGTTCTGTGAGGTTTATCCTGGTACCGACATCCATCAGTGGAACGCAGTGGATGTGGAGAATGCCGAGGGACTCCTCGAGCGTGGTCTGGTCATCAATACTATCAACGGCGGCCTGCTCGTGGACTTCGGTGTGTCTGGGCGCCGCTCGCAGTTTGTCGACTGCCAAAAGGCTCTGCACTGTTGCTGTTCACGGCACAAGCGCTGCGCGCATACCCAAATGCGAAGCATTGAATATCACTGGGCGTCGAGTGATCTGGAGCCCCGGGACGGCTTTCAGGTTCTATTGCGGACAGCTGCCGATCGCCCGTGGACGTGGTACCCGGCGGTATTCCTGGCGCACCGGATCTTGTGGAATAAATACGCCTACATTCAAATCCGGTTGGGTCAGAGCGTCGTGAACAAATTCGTCAGCGCCCGGGTAGTTCGATTAGCGTACCGCGACCAGCTGGCGCGCGGTGTACGGGAACACGACTACGTCACGCAGTCGTGCGAACTACCGCGCGAATATCTTGAAGGACGGAAAATGGAGCCAGCAATGTGGAGCCTATGGGAGAAAGCGTTGAAATCGGCCTATGCCAGCACCATGTATCCCGTTGGTGTAAATAATGAATCGCTGTTATATATCCAGGATATGTCTGTGCCCGCAAAGCAGGCGCTTATATCAAAGGATGACCTGGTACAAACATATGCGATCGTCAGTATTGCCCAGCAGAATAAAAATCTCTAATACACGCACCCTTCGTTCCTAACTGTCTGATTGTTGCAAAGGGTTAATTGAACTTACATAGGGGTCTTTAAAGCGGCGCTTAATTAGCAGGCCTACGTACGCAGGAATAAGTCACATATTATTGCATAGCATTTTTTTTGTCATAACTCGTTACCAGTAAAGACACTTAAGTGGGCCACTATGATAAGTGAATAGGCGACATACACATAATTCGGCCAGCTTCTATTATTTCTCTCCTGATTCGTTTATCTTTAAGCTTTTTGTTTGGACGGATTCAGGAAAGCTTGTTCTTCTTAGAGTACTTAAAATTTTCAAAATCGGTTCACTGGTTTTTAATTAGTTATTTGGGTTATAAAAAAGCGATGACGGGTAGTATGCATATGCATGCATATGATTGCTGGTTTCTGTGTCGTAAAAGTTAAGAAATATCTGAATCGCTTTATTAGGGTTCAATATAATGTTTAATAAATTACGTAGTACTGAGCTCATACTAAATATATTTTATTGTTAAGGTTTGTATATTGTGTGAGTGGATTTAATTACAGTAGTTCATTAAGTTGTGTCTGAAAATTTAACAGAACCGGTTGAATTTATTGGCCAAAGCGGAGATGGCACGGCGAATAAAGGCCGGCTGGGTATTCAACGATGGCATATGGACATCCCACCCCGGTACTCAGGTTCGTCTGTGTGCCACAACGGCTCTTCAATCCGATCCATTGGCTGCATTCCCGCCGGAACTCTTTCGGGAGATTCTTTCCTGTTTCGCTCCGAATGAGCGACACTTTTACCGCCGCGTTAGCCCGTTGTGGAATGAGCTTTTCATCCAGGATAACATCAACCAACGGCTCACGGTGAACTTTGGCGATGGCGGCACGGCAGCCTTTTCGGTGGGCATGTGCATCATCCAATATTTTACGGCGGCCACAGAGTGGGTCATCATTAACAACGCCAGACAAAGCATGACGCGGCAGGAGTTTGGCGACTGCCTGCGCCTAATCAGCGCCGTCTACAAACAGCGCGGTAATAGCCAGAGAAAACTGCAGGTAAACAGTTGTTAGGTGCTGCGAAAACGATTGTGCAAACGAGTAGGTTTTTAGTTTCTTTTAGCTTTCTCTCCTTAGTTTTTCTTTCCGTTTCCTTAGTACTGTATTTTTTAGTTAGCCTTCGGAGCTCAGTTAAGTGGAATGACAGATTATTATGTACAACATCGCGCTTGTACCACCATTTTTATATAAAACTTCTATTTCCTAACGGAATTAATGATGGGAATCTAATTACATTAACTAATTTCTTTGACTAATAAATAAATTATATATGTGCAAAAATTTCCATTACTGCATTCTCCTTTATCAAAACTCTACTCGTATATTTGTTTCGTTTTCTCATATTTACTAGCACAACGCGTGATTTTCTTTAACAGGTGTTGGCTAACCGGTGCCGCTGGGATTTGGGAGACGACAGACTCAATGCGGAGGTGGAGTTGTTGGCTCAAGCGTGTGTCGACGTGGCAGCCGCCGTGGACTGTATTGTCTGGCGTAACTGCCGCTTTTGCGGAATCGGCGGCAAAAATAACGAGGATATTATGACGCATGCAGTCACGGCCACACATGGCACGCTGAGAGAAGTGCAGACGGATCTGTATACTTTGTTGGAGCGGCAACTGATGTGGATTCATTTTTCGGATGATTTTTCCGAGATGGCACGATTGATTGCGGACGCAGCACGAGATACAACAAAGGGCAGGTTCTGTGTTACGATTAAAAGGGTAAAATTTCTTATGAATTCGTAACGTAAATCATGGAGCTGAATTTAGTGCTGTATGTATTTTTGGTAATATATTTGTAGATTTTGCGGACTTATCAGGGAAGCGACCCTCGTCAGACGAACCTATACCATGGGAAGCATACATGGACCGAGAAGGAGCTGTGCCGTCTAGATATGGCGACGCTGTCCACTCTGACCTTGTGAGCTCTGCACTTGGCCATGTTGTCGTACGTACAATGATACTGGCGATAGTTTTGGTTGGCTGCGTGTGAAACATTCAGTAGCAACTGTAAATGTATAAGTGTTCACTTGATAGCTATTGTGCTAATACTTAAACCAGTTGCTCTAGGAGCAGTGAAGTACCGGTATAAAGGTCATAATGGTTTCAGAAACAATATCAGATTCTGTTTTCTAATATCTTTACGCGACACTCCGCCTGCAGTGAAACTTACCCACGCTGCAAATGACTAGTACTTTGTATAAAAGCTGTACAAGACAGCACAAGAAAAGACTGCGCAAAACTGTAAGTCTGTAACTCTATAACAAACGATGTATAAGCCAGCAGCTGGATATACACTTCATTGTCCTGCAGTTCCCACTGCGCACCGCCATACATCCAGACATCAGCCAGCGCATGATTGCATTTACATGGTGGTACGAGTATTATCGATCGATTCCAGCACCGTCAGTACGAACACTGTACAGGCGGAACATTTCTCTTTAAGCCAGTCCAGTCCTTGAAAAGTATAATATACAGGAATACAGAGCAGCGACACGCAAAACTCTCCAACTTACTCCTAGCATTGATGTACTGTAGAATAAGAGAATTGCGGTAAATATTAATAGTTCACCTGCGATATATTTGTGCTCTTTAAATCTTTAATTCACGATGGAAGTGAAATCGTCATTCTCCGATCGGGGTGTAGAATTCTGCATGAAGTTTTATAACTACTTGGCAGATCACAGCTCAACTGACGCTAATTTGATATTTTCTCCGTTATGCACGGAAGTCGCTCTTTCCTTGGCTTATCTCGGTGCGAGAGGCATCACACGAGAGGAACTGGCAGGCGTGCTGCAATTTCACGGGGACCAGCCACTGGAATCTCTCCATCAGACTTTGATGCGTTTGAAGCAGAATGAGGAAACCTTCAATCCGAGCCTATATTGTAAGTTAAGCAGTTTGGCTTGCTGTTAATTTCTATGAAGTGTCACTTTGTCAGTGGGAGTTTCATCAACATATTCTTTTGCACTTTCTCCTGGTGCGCTTTCTTAGAATGCGTTTGCTGCTAGAAACTGACAACTTACTAAAAAATATTTCGAGCTCGCAACCTTTTCCGATGAACATTTCAGTTGATGTACAAGTAGGTCCGGATAGCTGATGTACAAGTAGGTCCGGATGATGAGCACGATAGAGAACAGTGAAATTCATAGGTTACGCCAAACAGCATACTACGCCACGCTACATTGCTTACGCACGTAACATGTGTTTGGCTGGCTGGTGGCTTGTTGCACGCCATACATTTCAATGAGTATAATCGTAAATGCCTGGCGGAAGATGGCAGAAAACGGTCGGTGCTGCAAAGGACAGTCTACGTACGTCCAGAGCGCTTTTGGGCATTGTGGTGAACGTAGCGTAGTGGCGATTGTGCTAAGCGCTAACATCGCGCTCAGTACGGATATGCATTAGCTGTATCTTTACGCGTTGAATATCCTGTATGCTTGTATTCTTGTATATGCTTGTATTCTTCAACTTTTGCATCATTAAGTTCATAAATTCCCTCTAAGAATAATATGGCTTCTCGTTGGAATACATACTTACACAGTGTTTTATCATTAAACAGTGACATGATTCGCCCTGTTAAACAGCTTGCTCCTGTGACCGTGTTTTTATGCAGCGCCCATTATCAACTATAAACTGTTCACCGCCACTGGACTATTTCTTGATCAAGAGTATCCATTTAAAGAAAGTTTTCTCGACGACGCAAAACGGCTGTTTGGGGCGCAATGCCACAATGTCCAGTTTGCCACTGAACCCGATGCCGCTGTAGCAGCTATTAACCAATTCGTTACAAAGCAAACCAATGGAACTATTGATGATTTGTTGACATCATCCGAATTGTCGCCCGCCACCAAACTGATATCGGTAAATGCCTTATATTTCAAAGCAAACTGGCATTTGCAGTTCGAGGATAGTAAGACTGTGAAGAAACCATTTACTACGGCGAGTGGTGATAAAGTGTTAGTGGATACGATGCACGCCACCATCGAATGCAAGTACTTTAAGAGCAAGGAACTAGGCGGAGCAAAGTTCCTGCGGCTACCCTACGTTGAAGAGTGTACCCACGCCTACTTTATCTTACCGGGAAAAAAGAAGCGCTTTTCCAAATGGTCACCGGGTTTGGCTTTACACAATCTTTACCGTTCGCTAACACCGGCAACGCTGCAAACAGCTTTTCGAAGTCTTCAGGAGATCACATACGGAACCATACAATTACCGAAATTTATTATACGACACAGTATCGACATGGAAGACATGTTAAAGGATTTCGGTGTAAAAACCGCCTTTGACGATAACCAAGCGGATTTTACGGGAATATCGGATGGCCGCCTGTCTATTGACCAGATCAAGCAGAAAGTTTTCATAGGTAAGCAACAGCAGCTTGACGCGACTAATAATTTGTTTTTTTCTGTAAATCGTTTGACTCAAATTAATTGTTCTTCCGGGTGTATTTTTCGTTCTGCTCTTGCAAGATGTGAACGAAAAAGGAACCGAAGCGTCCGCAGCAATCCAGGTGACGTACGTAGACGCCTGTTTACCTCCTGATACAAGGGCTAAATTTATTGCTGACCGACCGTTCATATTCCTACTACGTCACGAGGCAAGTGACACGATTCTCTTCGTTGGACATGTTGCCGATCCTTCCGCTCAATGAGTGTCAGCTGTAAGGATCTGTATAACAGTTAGGCTGTTTCGACTCCATCGGATTATTATGCCTAACATCGAGCTCGCGATAACCCCATCCGGGTAGTGAGAATTGTTGAGGTGTTCAAAGTCACCCGGCTTGCTTTATTTGCATGAGTTTCCTGTGACAATAGTTACGGAAACAGATTGTGCTTGTCTCTAACTGCTTTTATGGTATGTTGTCCTAGCGCTTTACAACAGACATTCTTGGTCGCTTTCAATTTTCATTACTCACGTTTTCCTTTCATTATCGTTTTTCATTTTCATTATTTCTCATTCTTCTTTTTCAGTTTCAAAGTTGTTCGAAACCGAACAACCGTTTTCACATTTGAGCTTTGTCATTATAATAATCCCGCAGACATTTCCAGTTTTAGAACAACAGCCACAATGCCGAATAATGTCCGCAGCTGACAACTTTAAGGCGCAACAAAGGGAAAAAATGTCGCCGGTATTTAAATACCGAATTCTCGAACCGGCGGCAATGATGTTCCCGATCAAGGCTGTCTTAAAAACACTACGACAAAAAACCCCCCGATTTGCCGACACCACGAAGCTCATGCTGCATTCATAGCCCACTCTGTCCACGTGGAAACCGAAAACCGGCTGGCTGCGCTGCGAACGTCAGTCTCGCGTCATCTATCTTGCCCATGATTTCAGCGTTTTCGAATAACAATACCGTTGTCATGAAAAGCGCAGCCGCATATTTGTGGTTGCTACTGCAACTTTCTTGGCGTAGTGCAGTGGCTGAAGGGCTTTCATCACTGATTTCCTTAGAACGCAATTGTATAAAAGCGGTACTAGCAGTCAGTTATTCTGTGAAGGATATATCTCGCTTGAGTGGTGAATAAAAAAAGCGAAAAGAAATCGGTTTGTGGAGTTTCCTATTTTGGGTGGTCGAATTAAACGGCCGTACGAGTTCTGTTTGCTTAACGGTAATTAACGGCCATTATAAGAACCCTCATTACAATGCTTCGCATGGTCGTTATGAGCTGTCTGCTATCCGTGAACGTTTTCACCATACGCACAGACGCCACCGACGGTTTCCGTTTCCGGTAAATCTTTTAGCAGCTTTAACCGGCTGACAAAATTTCGTAAACGAAGAACATCACTGTTGTTGCTGAATTTGAAAACATAACCGCGCAGCCGTACTGCCAAAGCAGCCTCGATGACGTCGCTTCTGTCATCGGAGAAGTACGGTGGAAAGGCTGCGAACGTTGACAGAGCATCAAGTTTCTCGCATCAGCAGCTTTCAATTTCAGTTTTCATAACATCCACAATCGCGATATAACAAAGCCTTTTGATGCAAAAATGCTGCTTTATGGATTTAAAAGACAACGCTTTACGGACAACCTTGTACTACTGTTCTCACGACTGACAACAGTGCTGGCGTTAAGTCAAAGAGTCGAAAGACCACAAAGGTGATCTTCTTCATCGCTTTCATGGAGGACAATATGGACGGAAGCGTATGCCTGCCAGATGTGCTGCATACGAACGCCGGCCGAGATGGTTTTGAGTCTAACGCTCTTCTTCCGGATCAACAGCACGGCGCCCAACGAAACACTGCAGCTAAAGCAGTAATGAAATGTGCTGCGCAGTTCGCCGGATGTGAGAAGCTTGTTCTGCTTTTATCGGGAGTAAGGATCGCATTACTCGGCATCAGTCTTCAGTGGACCGACATTTATCTATTTCCACTAAAGGTAGGAAATTTAGTCCAACAGAAAAGTTTTAGGAAATTCAGAAAGCGTAAGTATACTCGTTAGAGAGAATTGTTGTGTAAAGATCGAAATTCTGGTGGTAAAATGTATGCCAACTTGTTTTTAATATATAAGCTTCGGAAACACCATTTAATACTCAAGTAAAATTTCCTGGTTTAACTGGTAAAAGTAGGTGCTTTTTCGGAGTGGGTATTCTGCGGCTGTTTTTTTTGGCAAAATAGCCTTTTCTGCTATTTTGCCAAAGTATCTGGCCAGTTAGTTTGCTGGTTATTTTGCCACACATTGTGGGTTTCCAGTTGATTAGCTATTCTACCGCGCGTCCGATCACTTCGGTCGCGCTACATTTTGGCCGCACAGATTCAGTTCGGTCAACGATCATTTTAGCAATGGACATTTCCGCCATAATATCATTTGAGATTTCATAATTTTCGCATATTTTCTGATGTTTTTGTATGTTTTCTTTATGTTTTGTTATGTACCAAAATAGCTAACTTGCCGCTTGCACTGCGGCAAAACAGCCTATATCTAATGAGCCGCGGCGTGCGGAAAAACAGCCGCAAATTACTCTTACAGCGGCAAAATAGCATTAGCAATGCTTTTCAGTCGGAGGAGTACGGTTCTGCCAGGCGTCGACGGGTGCTGTGGGGATTTGGAATACTCGGGCTGCTGTACCTCCCAAACTGTTACCAAGGTGTCCTAGATGCGCAGGAAATCGTGCGAGCGGCAAGCAACCTCCACAGACGGCTTTCATCGTTGTCTGAAAAAAAGTTTCAGTCCGGATGTTCGGATCTGCGTCGCATGTGCCGAACTCAGCGGAATCATGTCGTCAGGATGTATTTAGCTCCACTGCAAGATATCTGTTCCTATTACGTTTTTCTCTTTGGTGAAACCGTAGTGCATATGAAGCCTCGTATTACATACTTGTCTAAGTGTGGACAGTAGAGGTATTTGAAAGGAACAGACCAAGAATATGTGCGGGACTGGCCCTTTGACCGCTTCCTCGCCGCCGTACCGTTTGCTTGTTTACTTAGTCAGCTCCGTTCAATGCATTCAGAGCTAAAATAGGAAAGACAGTAACGTGAGTGGCAGGCGGCAGCTACCTCCATCTTGCGTCTGCTGGTCACTGTTATGTATATTATATGTCCACTGGTAGCATTTAAGTGAACAATACTGAGCAGACGATTCTAATCTCTGTCTGGTGGTATTGTAACTACAATAATAGCACATTCTCGTATGCTATAGCTACTGGGTCACAAAAGTGATTACGTGTCTATGACTGCCATCATTACCATGCATTTGTTCATGAAATCGGTTTTGCCATTACACTGCAAATTAAAAGCTAGCAACGAAATAATTTTATGTTGTATGCAGTTTATTAATATATCGGGTCATAACAGCCATGCAAAATTTTGATTGATTTCATTTTTTGTGGTGGTGACGTTAAACATGGTGACGAAGTGTTTTGTGCTGAACTGTCCAAGCGAACAAGGTACGAGAACAAAGAAACAGTCGCTGGAAGTTGGGCAGTCGCCAAAGTTATCGTTTCATCATGTTCCTAAAGAAGGTTACCCTACTCGCAATTTATGGATCCAGTTTTGCGGTAACTTGCGTCTCCCATCAAAGCATGATATTGTGTGTCGTAAGCAATTGTGTGTCGTAAGCAATGTCGGATTCAAAGCAATTGATCAGTCGAACAGCCAAGCGATCGTTTTTTGACGCCCCAAACCCCATTGGGGAGGTAACAGTGGTAAAAAAAACGTGCAAGTGCAACCTGCAGCCATTATTTTATTCGTTTTCAAAATTGTTTATTTCGTCACTATGGTCGTATCGCTGCAAGCAGGTGGATAATGCAGAAAAAGAGAAAGCGTATGGAAGCGATGCCAGCAAACATGCTTATGCAAATAAGCAGGCGATCAAATATTACGGCGGCTTGAGCAGCAGTGTTGAAGAAAATTCGGACGAAAACTATTGATTTGTTTTTTTGTTGCGTTAATTATATGCATCAATGTCGTGTGCGATTTTTGGTTTTTTGTTTGTTTGTCAGTGTGGTCGTGGCTTATTAATTTTATAAATAAAGGTAGTAATGGTAATTATTATGCAGTGATTTCCATATTTACTTGAACCTAACAGCATAAATACCTAAATTATTTCATTATACAAAAGCATATAAGTAATTTCCCAATTAATAATACGATCACTACGAGTAAATACACTAGATAGAATGTTAAGCATGGCGTAATGGACATACTTTTATGGAAACCATATTGTACAGTAACGACGAATTAGTCCAGTACAGATATACGAGTATATGTATATTGAATACCGACTCGTCGTTACGGTTTTATTAATGGCATGTGCACACGCTAGTATCGACCAGTAACAGTTTCCCTAATATGCCGCTGTTACAGACAAATGTTACCATTGTTACACTTGTGCAAGGTAACAGGTTGCTGATTCGTCGGCTTCTATTTACTTACGAAGCGGCTGTTCCATGTTCAAAGCGGTAGGCCACGACCACTGGTCCCGCACATGGTTAATTGTTTTATGGCTCTGTCCGCACTTAGACAAGTATGTAATACTGGGCTTCATATGCACTACGGTGAAACTCTTAACGACAGCGGTTATGGTTACCATTCGAAGCTGATATATGGGCTGCCGATTCCGAGCCTGGCGTGTGACTTAGCAGTGATAATGGTACTGTGTTGCGGCGTTGTCGTCGCCAATCGCATGTTGCGCGAAATCAGACATTTGGATGAATGGGTGGATGCAAACGGTCCTCAAATGAACATCCATTTTCCGCCGATGGACTTCTGTGCAGGTAGCACGGGAGAAAGCGGACATTTGGATGGTGTCCACGCGGAAACGCAATCTTTATTAACGCAGACATAGACATTGCAGCTATTGAAAACTATCCTTGATATGCTGTTTTGACTGCCATGAATAAACTCGTGAACTAAAAAATGCGCGATTGTAAAGCACATACATATTCTTCTGTTGGCATATTACCCTTTCTAATCTTCTTTGCCGGTTAGCTCGCTATACCGTGGCTATACCGTGCGTGAAACGAAAGGAATGTGGAAGGTCGATTGTTAACTTTTTTGCGTTGACTTAGAATAGGACTTCTGTGTAGAACCGGAATTATGCTTTTTTATCTATGCTCTGTTTATGTCTACAGAAATTTTGTGTGATTTAATTTACGTTAATCGTCACAAATCGCAACGTGTTTGGAACCTGAAATTTTCCGAATCTTTTGGTACCTCCTTGATCTTGATAGATGGGTTTCACCCAGAACTGAACGAGAGAAAATGTTGGAGTTTAACTTATAAAGCTATGGAAAAAGCCAGATGAGTATCTCTATCTAGAAAAATAGATGTTATAATTTTAATTTAAAATGAGCAGTACAGTCCAGAGAAAAAAGGACGAGTCGGATGGCAATCATGGCATGTACAGATAGAGTGGTAACACACAGACATCTGCATGACCGGAGGTGCGACATGCACTGATCTCACAACGGGCTGAAATTAACTTAACGGCGACGTTCTTAGATTAGTCAACACTGACCTCTTGGTTCGACAGAAACGTGGATGATTATATATACGATATGATTATATATATATATATATATGATGATTATATATATGATATGATTATATATATATATATATATATATATATATATATATATATATATATATATATATATATATATATATATATATATATATATATATATATATATATATATATATATATATATATATATATATATATATATATATATATATATATATATATATATATATATATATATATATATATATATATATATATATATGTATTAAAGCTTTTATTTCACGATACAATTTTGGTGCAACCATACAGTAGCATACACTAATGCTTTAAACATTGATTAATGTGGTGTCTCGCTGGATTCTTGTTGTCACGATTCGTACTCGTACGTATTTTACATTTACCTTGGAGGACACCATGGACGGAATTAGATGTCAGCCTGATTTGTTGAACACGGACACAGGGCGAACTGAAAATAAGTCAAACGCTCTTCTTACGGATCAGCAGCACTGCGCCCAACGAAACACCGCAGCTCAAGCAGTACTAAAACGTGCTGCGCAGTTCGCCGGATGCATGCGGCTTGTTCTATTTTTAGCGGAAGTAAGAATCGCAATACATGGCATCAGCCTTCAGTGGACCGACATTTATCAATTTTCGCTTAAGGTGGGCACCTGTTAATTAAGTACAAAAGTTGAAAAGAATACTGAAAACTATTTTTCTTTTACTTGAAGTTTCTGTCCTAGACTGCAAGCTTTCAAAACTGTAGTATCATCCCATCTAGTACCCGGTTTTCCTGGATTAAAAAAGAGGAAACTCTTGTTTGTAGATCGGTATTCTACTTTTACAATGTATAACGTGCACTTGTAATAAAAATAAATTTGGGAGAACACCGCTTAATATTCACGTAAACTTTGCTCAATTTACATTGTATGAATAATTTTCAGTCAGAGGAGTACGGTTATGCCAAACGAAAACAGATGCTGATGGTACTCGGAATAATGGGGTTGTTGTTTGTCATACTCTGTTACCAAAAAGTACTGGATGCGCAGGAAGTTGTGCGAACGGCCAGCAATCTCTGTAGCCGGCTTTCATCGCTGTCCGAACGAGACTTCTCGTCACATTGTTCGGATATGCGTCGCATGTGCCGAACTCAGCGGAATCAGGTTATCGTGAGTTATTTAGGTCCATTCCCAGATATCTTTTCCCATTACATTCTTCACTTTACTGAGATGCTGAACGGTAGTGGATATGGTTATCATTCGACGCTGACGTACGGGTTTCCGCTTCCGAGTCTGGCGTGTAACGGAGCCATGATTATCGTACTGTTTTGCGGAATTATCGCCTCCAATCGCATGCTGCGAGAAATCGGACTCCTGGATGGATGGGTCGATGAGAACGGTCCTCCAATGAACAACCGCCATCGACCAAAGGACCCTGGTTCAGGTTCCACGGGAAGAGCGGACCTTTGAATGGTGTCCGAGAGGAAAAGCCATCGGTATTAACGCCGATATTGAGAATCGCACCTAATGAAAATTGTGTTTTAACTGCTGTTTGTACGGCCACAAATGAAATCGTAATTAATTTTCGATTGTAAAAGCATATAGGGGAAAAATGTGTCTAGCCGAACCAATCCCTTGTACTTCTGATGTAAGCCAGCTGGTGGTTTACGTTGTGGCTTGACAGTGTTTTATGTAAAGCGCTGCTATTAAGATTACAGGTACTGATAACAGGTAAGCAGCACTCGTACAACTGCAGGTAAACAAGCTGAAACTGTATTATAGCCCTGATCTGCCCGGTGCAGCTAACACCACATGTACCGTTAGTGCCGCACAGCCTTAATAGCAGCGCTTTACATAAAACGCTGTGCAGCCACAACGTAAACCACCAGCTGGCTTGCATCAGAAGTACAAGGGATTGGTTCGGCTAGACACATTTTTCCCCCTATATACATATTCTGTTCTTTGCATGCTACCCTTCCTAATCCTTTCGCTGCTTTGCCGGTCAGTTTGGTATATCTTTATCCAATCATGGCACTGTCGATGTGGGTACCATCGACAATTCTCCTCGCAGCAAGAGAAAAGACAAGTTTCAGTTTCGGCAGAAATGAACTGGATGTACAGATAAATAAAACGCGTACCGGTATACAAATAACGTTACTTGTTTGTGTATGGAGAGCAAACCGCACCGGGAAAAAAACGAATTAAATGATTTTCTGTGGAGTGTTTGCCTCATCTCCGTGTAAGCGCACTTTTTTCTCCGATGGTCAAAAGATTGTCGTCAGTAACAGTAAAACCGTAACGGCACGACACCGCGCTCCGCGTTAAGTGCAGGAAAGTCGGTTTTGGCTTGAAATTTGATCTATCGTGCTGACAAAAAATAGTTTCACTTTTGGTTTTCGCGCATCCGCAATGCGGGTCCTGTTGACGCAATTAGTTGACACGATGATATGGATCTGCTGTGTCCATGTTTGCTCTTTCATGTTCGTTCCGCGTTAATTAATTTATACCTTATAACTCTGCGATAGTCGAGCGCAGTGATCCAAAACATTTCATGCAATATTATTATGTACCCTTTTCCCAATTAATTTACAAGGGAATGTGCAAGCTATACAGCATTACGCGCCGCAAGGGCGACAAAGGGCGATATCAGTCAGCCGATGACCCGGTTTTCCTCTATGACCCACAGCCTGATCCGACGGAACATTCCACTCATTTGGTTAATCAGATTTGGAAGTCGGCATTGACTGTCGGGTGGTGCACGTTCCTTATCCTTCTCACAGTGGCACCCAGAAATGCTCTCATGCTATTCACGGCCTTCTGGTTCCGCGCTGAAGAATACTTTTATCAGGTACCTAAAAAACACTTCTCAATCACAATCTCCCTACCTTGAATGGCGAATTTTGACTCTGCTGAAAATATCTTTAATAGAAGGTACTACTCCTGGTATCAGCCGCATTAGCCGATTTCATTCCGGTCCGGACACCTGTTTGCGCCGTCATCAGCGCCATTCAAACCATTTCCCGGGTCGGGAATGCGCGTCAAAACCCGCTTTCGGTCTATCGCAACATCGCCAATCCCTGGAAACGATTGCAATTGAAAACTGCATGTGACAACCTGCGGCAGGCGTTGAGCAATATTCATTGGATTCCGTGGACGGGCATCTTTATGCAAAGTGTAATTCTCATCAGCTACGACATGGACAAATATTCCAGAGATTATCTTGCATATGCGATAACCGCTGATATTGCTGGAAGGCATTCACTGTATTCTCACAAGTTACTGCCAACGCACAGTTCAAACGCTGCAGCGGGCGATGGAGCAACTGGAAGGTCCATCCATGCACGATGCAGTTTTGCAGTTACTCGCCGAGTGACCCTTGCCGCCATAATTTGGAAATTAATATTGCGGAAATTTTGAGAAATGGCGGAAATGCACAATTTTAAACTGCAGCTGTACCGTGGGCAACTTAACCTTTGTTTTGGACGTAATTACCTCGGCAGCGCTAAGCCATATGTGGAATTACTTAAGCTGGTTTCCTATACAGGCAGTAGAAAGCCCACTTTCCAAAGCTTTACTAATTTCACGATTTATTCCCATTTGTATGGCTATACAGTGGCATACACTACTACTTTATACAATGATTAATGTGGTACTTGTGATTCCTTGTTGCCACAATTCGTTCGTAATTACTTTTACGCCCTGGCAACTTGCTGTTGTACTTGTTCTTGATCCTTACTCAGACGCTCTGTTGGCCAGTCACCGTCCTGTTGTATTATTAAAGTTACTTATTATCATACACACCGTAATACACGTATACCGGGTATACATGCTTCATAAGAAGTCAAACCAAAACAATTACTATCATCTTTAACGTTATCGTGCGTTTTTACCTCGAGCTAAAGTGCGTACCGGTACAACTGCCGCCATATTTCTCGACCAACAGCAGCTGTTTCCGAAAAGAACCTGAACGCGCGGTCCCCAGACATCTCGAAAAGTTTTGCGTTCTAAAAAAATAGAAGAATATGCCAAGCGGTGATCGAAATTTGGCTATGGAAACACCCATGAAAAAATTGTAAGCGGTTTCGATGATATTTCCCTTCTTAACCCATAGATAATGGTTCGAAGAATGTCTGCTACGAGAAGTTATCTATCAATCGTTGGTCGCTTTTTTATAACGCTTTAATGATAGCACTCGTACATAGATCAGTTTCAAGTCAATTATTATTTTTTCACTTATTATTTTCACCGCCGAGCCACAACAGAGGCGCTGGAAATAATAGCAAAAACAGTGGAGCGATAAATGAAATAATAGCCAAAACAGTTGGAAGATTGGCGCAACCAGTCTCAAAGGATAGGGTTTCCGATGGCTCGCGGGATAAACGCGGATCCCAACTGGATTCCACCCTGCTTTTTTTGACCGGTGTTGGGTTTTCTCTAGCTCAACTGTAATATAGGTACATCGTGTATAGCTGCAATCGTCTCCACACGCATATGTACTGGTCACCGCACGCCGCACATTGTCGAGGAAGTTGTCGGATAGCACAATTTGAAGAGTTTTCCCGAATACTATACTGACTGCATGCGCTGGAAATAATTGACTTTGAAAGCTCTTACTTGGAAGTTCGAACACTTATCTGCATTCATCTAGGCCCGTTACCAAAAGGCTGTGAAATATTGGACACTGGGAGCGATAAAACCTTACAAATTCACAAATTTCGCCAATACGGGCAATTTTTCAGCCGGCGTCTTGGACTTACGACGAAGAGCGCATGGCTATGTTACACGTAGTGGCGTGTATGACGGACCCCCGCATGGGGAGAACGAGACGGAAGAAGCAAGAAAAGGAATAAAACGTAGTTTTATTCAGGAACACGAAACGGGGCAAAAACTTGCAGCGCAATGGTAACGCGCTGCGTGATTCCATCACACTAAAAAAAGATGGTGAAAACAACAGTCGACTCGAGCGGTCTAGGACCGCTCCAGGACGGTTGAACGGGGAAATGACGGGATGCGTCATCTACTGTGACAGCTATTACCAAACTCCAGGAGTTAGACAGTTAACTTATCGCTGACGGTGTCCGACAATCCGCCACCCACTTAACAATTCTACGGCTTTACGCATAACGGAATAAGTGTGTTCAACGAAGGTACTCGCTAAGTCAGCACATTTCCGGAGCTGACACGGACGTGGCATTGGGAAAAACACTTTAAATTCGCAGTTAACCCGAGAATTCCATGGATCATGTGCGGTACACGTACACGGTACCGCGCACTGCCAGCTGATGTTTTCGCGGAAAATACTGACGAAAGCAGAATAAGCAGACGGCGGTATAAAAAGCGTTCTCTGTATTTGCATGCACAACGGCGCGCTTTAAATTAAAACATTTCAATATTAAGCATTTCGTTACATATACAGGCAAAATGTTAAGTTTCTTGTTGCTGTGCGTAACTGGTTTATCCTCATTTTCATCAGCCAACGGCGACTACGTCAAGTTCAGTGTCCCGGCTTTCCAGCCGGACGGCTTTCCGCCATACGTCCTAATCGAAGAACCCTTTATAAATGGAGGCAGCAATGCACACCCCTTTAACGACGAGTTTGACACTGACTTATGGCACAAATCTCCTGTTGCCGATGCTCTCGAACCGGGACAGAAACGGTGCCCCGTGGACGGTGATCCTCACTGCCGTGACTGTGTGCCGGGATACAAGGGTAGTGATTTTGTGCAGACACAGTGCTGCTTCGCGCACCACTGGGCCTGGCAGAATAAGCAAAGCCTCCGCGATGTTCTGCCGTACCGCTTCCATCTGGCACCGGTGAACCAAACGGAACCTGACTGGGAGAGACACGCGAACCCTGGCGAGATATGGCACGGTAAGTACACCTTTCCGATATTCCTCTTATTTCACGAGAAGATATTAGGTTGCAGGAATTTTCTTGCTGATTGCTTTTAAAGTTCGGACTGGTTTTGTAACCACCATCATGATTTTCCGCTTCCATCACAAGTAAACACGTTGTCCGAATGGAAGTCTTTTCGCTGAGGGGTCAATAATGCTAATAATGTCAAGAAATAAAATTACCAAACATTAATCGTGCTTAATCCTCTACTACATCAGTAATTGTTTTCAAACTTGCTGTAAAACGTGCTAAGTGTGGGTGAGTTTGCCAGTGCACTTCATTTTCGTCCGCTGGCAAAATTATGCTTACAATCCCCATGCGCCAGCCATCAGCACAATCCGGGTGTTTTGTAGTGGATGTGTGCACGATGGAGCCCGTTGCGACCCTTCCGACGGGAGGCTACATTCCATGCCGCCAGCGCAACGCTTGTCCGGATGTTAGAAAAGATGGAACCATATATTAACGTCCGCACGTTGGCGCCCTGTGACCCCGGTTACACTTTAGACAGACTTGGCAACGACACTGTTGTGACTGCGACTCGTTATATTTATTTTCACTAATTGTAACCTTTGTCTATTTATGCTTTTTCTTTCTGTCGTGTCTTATCCAATCTTTCCATCGTGTATACTGTACCGTTATCGCGAGTAAATTTTGACCGATAATGGTGTATCGAATAGCAGAGATCCTCAACGAAAAGACGTCTTCTGACAGTCCCAAAGTAATCCACAATAAAGTTCAGCAAAAACAAACATGGTATCCATGATAATGATAAGAGAAAAGGGGCAACTATTTAGTGATGATCACAAGGGATCTGCTTATCGTAAACTAAATTCCTTAAAGAGCTTGAATAATAATATTGGTAATTGAATATGTGGAATTTACACAAGAAATTATCGCACTAACAACAAAAAAAAGCAAGGAAAGGGCATGCTATTCTTGTAAGCAGGATCAACGTCCACTACGGGGAAAAGGGACGACGCATTATGGAGGTTTTATCAATAAACTGAAAGACTGTTCTCATTTCCGTGGCCAAAACGAATCAGCGGCTTCATCACTACAAATGCCAGTCATTTGGCTTCTTAGGCCGGCGGTGGGACGGATCGAGAGAATCATCTTTTCTACTGAGTTGTTATTACCGTAAAAGTGGCGTGCAGACCATATGTGTACTGATCAGCGTTGGCGCATTCCTGTATCCATTTCGTCACCGCAGGAACGTAGCTCGCATGTGTCGGCAACTGTCTTTCCAACAGCGCATACAGCTCCTCCACCATGCGCGTAAAGTCCTGGTTGAGCTCGATCCGGTCTTCAATGATCACTGTTTCGCCGATGTATATACCCAGTCCCGCAAAACGGCAGTTTTTCCACACAACACTCGCCACAGCCGGTTCACATTGTGCCAGCAAATTGGCCAAATTCAGGACTTCCTGGTGCAGGTTAGCAGAACCGCCGAGATCCCATCGACCCTGACAGCAGTACAACTGCAGTTTCTTAGCCGGACGCTGCGGCAACTGAAAGTACGCTGCCACCATGAGAAACAGACAGTCAGTTATGATCGTCTCCATGTGTCCGTTTCCGGCCTGGACAAGGGCCACATGTGCGGTTGATGTAATCATGCACTGCACAATCGCGGACCCAATGGTATAGCCGCGATGTTTGCAGATTTCAAAGTCCACCCGCAGCTCTGTGAAACGAACGGATTGATTGATTATCGTGTTCCACAATGCGCAGACCCGGCTTATCCTTGTGCGCTGGACTGTATCCATTGCTTAGAAGACGCATTGGAGAATATCCATAGATAAGGGTGCTAGACTCTGGGTGACGCCTACAGGTAAAGAAGAATCCATCGGCACTTTCTTTACAGCTTGCTGCCAGCGAACGTCATTGAAAGTCCATCCGTCCTTAAAACGCCATTCCAAATCGCTGATAGCTTCGGTCGTTAGATGCTCCTGTTTGAGAGGAAAGCTAATTAGATTAATTTAGTTGAAATTGAAATAATAAAAAAATTATTGAATTCAACTTCGGGAAAATTTAATTAGAAAAATTACGCAGATATAATAAGTACTGAAAATTTTATTAAAGTTTTAATAAAGTGCAGTTTCTGCTCTTAATTAAAGTATGCTTAAGTGCAGTACGGTAGTTAAATCAAATTTACAATAAATTGCTCCTGCACATTCTAGGAATGAAACTGAGCTCGTTTGCTTTGCTGCATCAGATCGTAATAATGTTAATCACTAAAAAAAATTCCACAATTTTAGTTACAAATAAAACCCGATTTTTTTCGTGCCGGGAGAATAAAGGTCAAGAAAACACGCCACGCGGAGCATATAATTTCGCTTTACCGGGTTAGCGACTGAGAGGTGGCACTGGGCCTTGCCGTTATTCATCAGATACAAGAGCTTCCCGTTTTCCACACATATAGGATAACTTTCGTATCGCGCATCCAGCGTTTCCACCCACAAACTCCATATTGCCGGATCAATGCCGGCTGCAGTAGCGTACTTCTGCGGCAGCTGACAAGACTGTATGCCGAACCGGGCCTTTACATTGTCGGCACAACAGTTCTCTAGCCGCACCGCGTTGGCATGAACGTACTGGTTGAGGAAAGTATTGCCCAATTGGATGCGAAGGAAAAAATAGCCTCTCCACAGCAGCCGCTGCAGGATTCGGCGAGCCGGGTACCAGGTCCACGGACGGTCGGCAGCGGTCCGCGCCAGTACTTGCAGCGGGGTGTGGAGGTTCCATTCCTTCCCGTATTCCGCATCCCACTTGGAAAGTGGGGCCGACAGTTTGCCGTGTGAGCTGCGGCATGTCCGAGCTGCACCGTGCTCCACCATCTGGGAACGCTGGCCGGGGCAGTCAAAGTCCACGAGGAGCCCGTCTCGTGGCGCGTCGATAACCAGTCCGTACTGGAACAGTCCATCGGGGCCCAGTACATCCACAGCGTTCCACCGGTATATACCGTGTCGGGGAATATTTCCAACATTCCCGAATAACGAGTTATTGACAGATTTCCCGTATATTACTTATCTTAATTAGCAAAGAAAAATATCTTAGACGCTGTTCTAAAAATTTAAGGGTAGTTGCAGTTATGTCGAACGTTTTAAAAAATAGAAATGGCGATGCTCGTGGGTCGTGGTCTGCTGGTATAAAAGTACAGCCTATCCTCTAAATTACAGGGACTGACACACATGAAATGACAGAGCTTCTGACAAATACCTAATCTGTTATGCGGATGCTGCTCGCGGATACTGTTATTTTTACAGACCAAAAGTACAAGCATCCGTTCCATAACCTCCGTGTGCATTTTATCATGCAACCAGAAGAACATGAAACTGCCTTTTGCTTCATCAAAACAGCAGCGCTCACACAATAAACGAATTAACACCTCTGCAAAACTGAGCACAAATAAGAAATCAGTATAGGCGAAAGGAAGTCAAATTTCAGTGAGTCCGAGGGGCGAGTGCCGGTGAAGCGGGACAGCACGCACTTCTAATAATGGTCTGCGCCTGCGGTGCAAGTCTAACGAAATTCAGTGTACAAGTGCGTATTTTGTGAGTTTCCAGCAACCGATAACTTTAAAATTAACACTACAGTAGTGGAGTGTAGTTATTGATTTCTTTGACCTGTATCGCATCATAACCTGTTTATCTTTTTTAAGCATTATTGATTCAGCAACATAGACACATGCATATTATTTTTATAAAATAATTATAGCAACAAAATGTCAGTTACACTCTCCATTTCTCTATTTCCTCCATTGTTCAAAGAACGGATACATATCTCGGACTATCCTTTGCACATTGTCAGCTTGGGAATTTGGAAAGCGATCTTCTGGTTACTGATAAACTGGAGTTGTAAATTATCGGTGTCATCAGATTAATGGATTTCATCGGTTAATAAACAATTACACAATTCTGCAACCGGTTTTTCATATTAGTTTCAACAAATAACAGCCACTGCCGATATAAACCATACTGGTGCGGTAAACACCTCTCGGCGATTTTTTGCGCACACAACTGCGACGATTTTTTGCGTTAATATCGTACACAATTTTTGCGCTGCGGTATCTTCCACAAATTATTCATTACATACCGCACTGGTCCGCACATGCTATACAATCGCATCAAAATCCTGTATAGTAATAGTATTGATACAGATTGAATTTTCAAAAAGAGAAGAGTGTTCCGAAAGGGACTAATCATGATAACGTGGAAGTGGACCCTTATCGTTGGAGTGCTTTTACTAATCCGCGTGACTGCAGCGGAGGTACCGACATACCATCAACGTACTGTCCGCGATACCAGTAAGAGATAATAATTATTACAGCAAAAATAACAACCGAATAACCTTAACCATTTCCGTTATTGGGACTGCCTGCAAGGCAATTTGAGTCGGTTCAAACAGAACGCCATTTCCTTACAGTGATTGTATTCCTGTGAGGTACTTTTCTCTCTTAACATTAATTTATAGTTCACGAAAACATCGAAACTTAAAATTTTAGGGAATTCAGGAACTTTCGGCGCTGGAAGAAAACGTAACCGCTCGGTGTGGGGTCGTAGTAACAGTTTCATTTTGAGAACTTTTAAAAATTCTTCCTTTTTTTTAAATTTTCGTCACGAAAACTGGCTTTTCTGCACTGTTTATGTGATAAACCAACCGATCTGACTTCACGACCTATAGAAAAATTCTACGTAACTTTAACGATAAATAGCACCTGATTTAACGCAATAATGATCATTATAGGCGACATTTTGGAAAAGTTGTTTCTGATTTAAAATAGACCGCAAATGTCCGGCCCACTGCGGCCAGTGGTCGGTGTGCATGGGGACCCATGCCAACGACATGACGGTTTGCGGCACACAGCCTCCGGACTGCCACTGTGCCGGACCGCACAGTTAACCCCCAATCGTCGATTCACCCACACCAACCGGTAAAGCAGTCGCTGTAGTTTCTGGACGATATGTTAAGAATCTTGGCGATGTAATGGTCTGCAATAAACATTGTGATTGAGTTTATTTCCGAACAATTCAACCGTCAGTTTGGTAGGACAAAGATCTTATACTGCTATGCTCCGTTTAGATTGCAATGTGATAAAATAAATTTAGTTTTATTAACTGCACGTCTACGAATAATGGTGCGTCTGTTGACCAACTAACTTAAGCGAGATACACGGATTCTCAATGTGTATGTACAGTACCAGTAGAAGTATACCAACGTTCAGACACAGCGGTTTTGTGGCCATTTGAATCTGGTGATCTCAAGAGATGGTCAAAATTGTGGATTCAGCGACGGCTGGAAGGGAAATGAACAAATATGCGCAAAATAAAACCCTGGTCCAGCTTATTTTTGGTGTAAGTACATTAGAGTGCCCAAATCAACATGTGTATTATGTTCTGAGTAAAAATTATCGAAATAAGTTACGTAGATTGGATAATCGTGTAGTTGTTATCCGGTTGCGTAACACCCACGATGACGGATTATGGTGGTTCTTTGAGTTTGGTCCCGGTCTTAAACCCGCTGTACCGTTTGAACCACTCCATTTCTCGCGTCAACGCGCACAGAGTCATGGTGGTCAGCGATTGCGGGTCGAGGAAACGCAGCTCTTGCGGCATCCATTGCTGTTTATTTCGATACGGCGACATCGCTCGGTGAATCTCGAAAGACATCAAAACCTAGAAGAACAAGCGGCATACACAGCTGCAAGATGATCAGCGATCGATACACCGACTGCCATCTGGGACCACACTTCCATCAAATTTTTTGTCGATTGGTCCGTTAATCGGTCGTAAGGAAAGCAAAATTAGCTTATCCTAAGTAATTAATTTTGTACCTTAAAAATGGCGTCGACAGTGGATCTGCGGCCAGCGTCGCCACTCTCGCTGATCCATTTCGCCACCTCCGACACGCATTTTTTCCCGGCCGGCAGCTGCCTCTCTACTAATGCATAAAGAGCTTCAACCGTCTGTTGACACTCCGTGTATAGGTCAGTCGTGTCATGGACGACCAGCTGTTCGCCGATGCGTCCACCGAGTCCCGAGAACCGACAGTTTCTCCATACTATACTCTGCAGGGCCGTTGCGCATAGCTCAAGCACTTTGGCCAGTTTCAGCACCTCTTTGTCGAGCTCAGATGGTCCTCCGAGATCCCATCGACATTGACTGCAGTACAACTGCAGTTTCGTCGAAGGTCGGGGTTCCAGTCGATAGTATGCTGCCGCCAGGAGCAACAAACAGTCAGCTAAGATGGGCTCCTTTGGTGCTTGCTCGCCGCGCCCAATAATCACACGTTGCGGTGCCAAAGGGAATTTTTCGAAACGCTGCACTATCGCAGAGCCGATTTTGTAGGCGGGGTTTTTGTCGCGCTCTAAGGTCACCCAGAACTCGATGGACAGATTGGACCGAGTGATGATGGCTTTCCACAGTCCGGATACCCGGCACAATCTTGTTCGGTTGATCGTATCCAGCGAGTGAAAGACGAACTCTAGAATATCCGGGCAAAGGACCGATAGGCTTGTGGTATCGACGGCGGGTGCAGAACAGAAATGCGGTTCTTTCGCGGGTGGGTGCCAGCATCCGTCAGCGAAGACCCATCTGCCTCTCAAACGCTTGCCCATCTCGTTTCTGGCATTTGTCGTCAAGGCTTCCTATAACAGAAGCATTTGCAGAACCTATTTTTTCACTGCATTCAAAGTTCTATTTTGATTGAACACCCTAATCCGTGGAATCTACTGCTATAGCGCATGGAAGTTTCCACCCCGACAACTGCTTCGTATTTTTTCGTAACATGTAAAGTCTATACTTTCAACAAATTAATGCCTGTCCGCCGTAGCTGAAGTGGACGTAAAAAGTTGTTCTTTACGCTTGACGCGACGCTATGGGGCTGCCTTAACACCTTACTAGGAAACTCTGGCTTCGAGGTCATTGTTTCTTCTTTAAGTTTTGCAACGATATGAAGATTGCTACGAAAATCGTTCTACACTGAACCACGATTCTAGAATTTTTTTAAATTTTAAAATGAATCTCAAAAATTTTTAAACTCATGTCAAGATTTAAAAAAAAAGTGCGGCTCTGGTTCTGTGTAAAAACGATTTTTATACTTTCTTGCAGTTGCATTATGTGCAAAATTTAAAGTCCATAATGAGGCTTTTGGCACTCCTGGTTGCATTTACGCCCTTTCAGACTTTTCTTCCAGCAACAAATTTTGAAACCGGATATTGCGCACATATACGGTTTTTAGGCCATTATAATTTATCCTTGATATTCCAATCAAAGCTTTACAGGAGCTACTTTCACGGTCCATGGACGATCATCGGTGTTTACAGGAACTGGAGGTTTTCAAACTTTCACGAGCAAGATCCCGGTGCCACACCGGGCGGCTCTTCTTGAGTCATGCGCCGGAAGTTCCAAAAGCCATCTTTAAAACGTCCCCTCGTGAAAATGTATAAGTTTTTTTGTAACAATCTTTGAACAGCAGCTATACCTTTTTGTGCCGTAAAAGTTAGTGTGGAACTTATAATTCCCAACTTAATTTGGCAGTCGTTTTTAGAAGTTTTATTGTACCGTATTCAGAACTTTTGCTTTATCGTTGTCCGAAGCTTTATTGTAACTTTTGCCGCACATTACTCGTACTTTTGCACATACTTCTATTCAAGCACAAAAATTACACTGAATTACAGGAAAAAAACCACAAATAAACATCAAACTATCGTCTGAGTGCTGCACTTGCTGTTTTAAACTACAGAAATTTAGATAGGAAGAATATAATGCAAAAGCCAAAAATTAAACAACAAAAAGCCTGTTTTGGTTCCGGAGTCAACTCCAGTCCATCAAATGGGCAATGAAATCCGTTAGTTTCCTAAGGAACGGGAAAATATGTACCACAAATTAATAATTTTGGTCTGCACGTACATAAATTCAGTTACTTAACAATTAACTCCACACCTACTTACTCAATTTACCCAACGCCATAAATCCAGTTTATAGAGCTCACCTGTGCTTAGACTGGCAGTGTGCTTCACACCTCCATCCAAAGGCCCAGTGTGCGCTCGTGTGCGTTCGCAACGACGGTGGCAGTGCTTGATGCCTTACGAAAGGGGAAGAGAGATCGTTCCATGAGTCGACTCCAAAAATGACCGAAGAACCTGTGACAAAATACAATAAAATTAGCTGGGCTGCCTTTGAGACTGACAAGCAGCACCGACAGTTTCCAAAACTATAATGTGTGAAGGGATTTTCATACGGATGTGAGCAAATTAGAGAGAGTCGACTCCGTCCAGCGTAAAATAAAGATAAAAAATCTAAATCGCTCTTTTTAGACACATTCCAAATTTTCAATTTTCTACGCTTACTAGAACGAAGTCGACTCCAAAATCGTATGGCTGCGTTTTATAAAACGCTTTCAAACCAGTCATCATACCTGTCGTAACAGAATGATTGAGAATCAAGGCAGGTTCGTCCAGCGACCCAGCTGCAGGCTCCTCATTCAGCAGAGACGCTCTCAACGGCGATTCTGCTCGTAGACCCGTGGTGAAGTAATTTAACCTGGTACTGCTTCTGACTCAGTGTTTCGAAATTCCATACAGAAAATTACAAATCACGTCTCTCAGATCATATCATTTTCTACTCAATCCTTAAAATCAAAGCAAAATGCAATAAAACTAAAACTAGAAAGTGAAACAAAGTGATGTGCTACAAGACACGAGTGCGTTGATTTACAACGGTTCGACTGCGTTAGTAGCGAGCTGAGCTATACCGTATTTACGGGCCCGCGCTGAAGCGCTGAGTCTGAGTCTGAGTCTGACCCTTAAAAGGCTGAGTCTGACTACTGAAAGGCTGAGTCTGAGTACTAAAAGGCTGAGTCTGACCATTAAAATGCTGAGTGTTCATAAGACTGCTAAAGTAATATCTCGATGACTTAAACTATTGACCGGAAATATGCGCCATATGGTCCAGCGATTACAAGCAACGCAAGTAATGTACAAGTACAATTGCAACATTTTAATTGGCAACAACGGACAACCCATTCGGAATCAAATATACGGGACGTGCACCGTACGTTTTTACGAGTATAACTTGCAGCAACACGATTGTCGAAAAGAACAAAAACATTAACCATAATTATAGCCGCTATTATACATTTCCAGCCAAAATAAAATTAAATTTATTTCTTTTACAACTATGTAGTTACTGTACCATGTGTACTAACGTAAATAATAAGCCGTTAATGTGCGCATGTAACCAGATCTACGTATAAAATAATACGTTAATATGCACTGACTAGTAAACCAGTGCAACAAAGCTCAATAAATCGAATAAAACACATGCATTACAGCAATAGAGTAATAGAGAATAGAGCAGGTCAGATTTAACTGAAAGTAAAAAGCACCTGTCGGCTTCTCACTAAGATAATATTATGAGGTATTTGTTGATGCTCGTTTCATGCAGGTTTAAAATAATTCAGCTAATTGCAGCGCTAATTACAGCTAATGTAAATGAAGCATAAAACCCATACAGCGTTAATAGCAGCAGCATTATCAGCCTACGTATAATAATTATACTGCAGTAACATACCTATTCTCCCGAAATAGTATTACAATTTCGATAATGCACGACATAGGCATACAAAACCACCGATTCGCCTTCATAGCCGATTAGCTGGAAGTAAATCCGAAATAATTAAGTAAAGATTGCAATGAACAGTCTAAATTTTAGAAGTTGCCACAAAATCGTAATGACGTTATCGTCATGTAAAAATTACCAAGATTCAGTTTATTATGACCCACTGTTTATTATGACTCACAGTATCCCTTACAATACTCAAAATATCCCTCAAAATTCACATTGTAACAACAGCCTATCTGACTGCTGTTCTAGTGGGGTGACGATCAGTCATTACCATGATTATGCGGCTGTTGGGATGAAAGGTGTGCACAACCGGCAACGGTGCTGGCCCAGGATGCTTTTACTGATGCAACACTATTGCACAGGAGGCTCCGATTGGGATGACACAGGATTATCCCAAGCGGTCAAACGCAACAACGTAACTCACGGCATGTTTAGTTACAACGGCGTCTAAGAAACTGAGGCCTGAGCAAGGTTTAAGGCAACAGTTCAAAACAAGGCTTCGCCTCCGCGTTTCTTGTGGTCCTCGCCGGTCTGCGAATAACTTTATTGCTTTTTTTCATATTTTTGGCATTGTCAACGAACCTGAATCACTGACCAAGCGGGTTGTGTCCACTGCCCTGAAGTGGTAGTTCGGTCACTCACTGAGCTAGCGAGCACTGTTAACTGGACTATAAACTATAGTACAGTAGTGGTGTGGTCACTCAATGAGCTAACGGGCTTTGTCAACTGGACTGTAGTGGGAGGGGTAGTTCTAATAAGCGGACATGGACGGATTGGGTGGACGGACAGCAGGACAGGCCGGACACTGGCAGGACATGGACGAGGACGTTGGACAGGACGGACACTGGACGGCCTGGCACTTGGACACTGGACGTGCGCGGACACTTGTTCGTTTTAATGCTTCGAAACTTCAACTAAATTCATATCGTGACCGATCAACCCATCGCATAAAATCTCGTCGGGGGAGATTAGGAGATACATTTCATCTTGGGACATGTGGTGATCAGACATTTGGTAAAAGGGACACTTCGCGCTCAGACATATCGTCGGCAGGACAATTGGTTACACAGTTATTTTAAGTGAATTTTGTATTTTTAGCTTGCAAATGCCGTCCTGTGACTTCAGTTTCTTTGAATGGGACAACCATAACTGACATAACACACGCACCGCGTGTGTAGCCGGCAAAACAGTTAAAATGTTAACGGTCAACGCATTAACATGACATTGTGTGCCGGGCGAGAATGTTAACGTTAACATTCCCGTCGGGCCCAGATGTTAACGCACGTTGTACATGGATTTTATGATTTATGTTATGGATACAACTCCTGCATATGTATGTAATCATACATGGATACCTATAAATCGAGTTTAATTACTTATTTTCGCCGCAGCTGCAAGAAACGCTTTTTTATTAACGGGTCGTTAAATTCGCCGCAGCTGCAAGAAACGCTTTTTTATTAACGGGTCGTTAAAAAAGTTTGCAAAATTGCGGGCGAGAGGGGACTAAAACGAAAGTAGAACGCAAAAAGAGGTGTCTGATGCGAAACCACCTTACAATTTGTGGGAACAAGAAGATGACATACCAATCAGTGCAGGAGTAGCGATAATAGTCTTGTTGTTTTGGCTAACCGTTTGGAAGCAAAACGGTTAGCAAAACATCTTAACAGTTTTGCCGGCTACACGCGTGTACTAACGACCAACCTGACCGCAGTCTGCAGAGAAGGAAGTCTGGAGAAGGGTGTTGATTCTGTTGCCCACTTCCGTAGACAACAGATGCCACAAACACAAACACACTCACACCACAAACTACCACACTACTGGAATACCAACACAGTAACTTCCGCCTAGGTACACACTACTGCTTTCCCTAAACGAAGGTCACTCACAATACAAACACCAACAGGACCTCAATGTTGTTTCTCACTTCAATCTTATTGATGTTCACTCAACCAGTCTCACCAAGACTGCCACACACTAACTCAACTCTCTCACAACTGTGCCGATGCTAGCCGACGACGAAGAGCAGCTGCCGATCGGAGGGTAGCGATATGAACACGGATTGAATACGCCATCGCTAGTACAACAGGGAACACACGTACATGCGCACCGTAAACTCGTACAACCTAATACCAATTATGTCATAACTCTTGAATACTGTAATAATTTTTTTAAATTCGAAACACTGCATTATGATTGTTAATAAATTATATGCACACTCTATAGTTAGAATACTTTAACTTATCTGCATCTGTATCTTTCGCGTATCACACTGACGAGAATGTACACAGGTACATTCGCGTCAGTGTAATACGCGAAAGTTCGCATACCTCTGTATGCCATGTGTGGCAAACCGTAAGACCGCTAAGTTATTCAGTTTTACTGAAAGCAAAATTAAATAACAGCCGTTTATATGGTATCCATATAAACTGCTGTTATTACTGTGTTTTTGCTGGCTAAATGTTAAACGTTTTTTTAAATCTTTCATAATTTTTAACTAACGTACCAGGTTGCCAAATATTTCACTCGTTTCTTAAAATATGAGCGCCTATCAAGTAACAAGTCACTGGGTAACAAATGCAATAAAAAGAGGTGAGAATAGCCAGAAGAGGTTTGCGAAGGCGGTGGCAATAGTCAAAAGGTGGGGTTTAGAACTCATTTTTAAAAGACAGTGCGAACAGCCAAATGGTGGTGAAAGGTCGGAAGAATAGTCAAAAGGTATGTGCTAGGTAGCGTAATCATAATTAGTTGAATAACAGTGCATGACCTTCTGTGATGGACTAATGACCAAGAAGACCGCAAAACTTCATCAAAGTTTTTATCTAGTATAGCAACTGTATCGCATGCAAACCTGTTAGAGCGTTACACGTTTAAAAAGTCGTAAAATTGTGAAATAGGTCGGAACCTGCTGTTGACCTTGAATGCAGCAATTGCTTTCCTATCGATGTCGGTAAACTCTTTTAGCTTATGGGTTACCGGTTTGAAAAATGAGGCCTCCTACCAAAAAGAGCGTTAATAACAATGTCAAGCGCCGTAAAATTATTAGTATGCCGCAAATTTCTTCGTAATACTTTAATAGTTTAATGGAAAACCGTAAACAGACATAAAAATAATGAGAATTAGCAGAGCTAATTCCTGTCAGTGCAGCCATTCAACATCCTCGCTTCAAAATACTGAAACGGGTCGGTAGTGTCCAGAAAATTACAAATGCTGATGTGTAGATACAAGTGTCCGCGCACACGTCCAGTGTCCAGGTGCCAGGCCGTCCAGTGTCTGTCCTGTCCAACGTCTTCGTCCATGTCCAGCCAGTGTCCGGCCTGTCCTGCCGTCCGTCCACCCAGTCCGTCCATGTCAGCTTATCAGAAATACCCTAGTGGGAGTCCCATTATGAACCAATCGCCACCGAATTTGGCATGTAAAGGCATATCAGTGTCAAGGTCATGCACTTTACATTAAACCAGTTACATGAGTTTTCAAAGCCGTAAAGATAACAATAAAATATTAATATTATACACATTGCCGTCAAGCGCGCTGTTCGACTTTCATGCCAGTTTTTCTACTTCTAGGAGAGAAAAACGGCCCCAGATTAATCGAATGCAGAATTTCAAGGAAAAACTGATTCTATCGCTAATTTGTCCAACGTCCAACGTTTTCATGCGGGAAAAGCCGACATAGAAAAGCCGACATAGTATTGTAGCGATAGAAATTAGATGTACAGGTACTGCCAGTAAGAGTGTTAATTGCTTTTCTTTATTGTTTATTGGTTGTTGTGTTATGAAGATCAGAATCCTTATTTTTCAACTTTTACCGACCGCATCTCAAGGTCAGAAACACTTGAAATTAGTCCTGCTGCAGTTTGTTCCGAATCTTGCTCCACGCCTTCCGCGCTTCTTGCTCCACGCGTATGCGTTCTTGCTCCTCCGCCTGCTTTGCTCGCTGATTCTTGCTACGTTGTACTTGCTAACAAACACCTGCGATGAA